ATAATATTAAGTCAATTGATTAAAATGAATTTATACTTTTAAATGTGAAATTTCTGTTAAAACTATGTATGCTTAATAAGTTGTAAGATTTCATGTAATTAGTGAATAGCTATGAAGTTATTTTTTTTAATATTACTGTTGAGATTCTTAGTTTAGATAAAGTATTTTAAAATTACGGCATAAATAAATACTTACTGAACTTGACAACTTTTAGTAGACGATTTTAGATATATTTTTTTGAAATACATGTAAGAGTTATTATATAAAAGAAATTTAACGTATAATATTTTAGACACTGCATATTCTTAATCACATAAGCATTAAATATACTTAAAGATGAAACGCGTAGAAAGTGCATTCTGTTGCTTGCTACGTATATGCATGTAGAAAGATGCATGAATAATGCAATAATATTTTAATGGGATCCATAGAAAATACTATGACTTATGAATATTATTCATATGAATTTTAGGTTTCTTTTATAGGTAAGTATTTAAATTAATATTATAAGTTTGTAATGTTGCGCGCTTCCAACCTGCACGCAACAATAGTGGTGACTGCTATGAACTGGAAAGTATACAAAGTCTTGAGAAGGGTTTAAATCCCTTTTTATTCAACTTTAGAAATTGCAGATGCGTGCTCTTGACGCTCACAAACTACGCCGACCTGGCGGTAAAATTAAAAAAAAAAAAAAAAGAAAAAGAAACTAAAAATGAATAATAACAAGAACTACCTAAGAGGCTGTCTAAAACGTAACTAAACTAACGGCGTTCTAAGATACCGCTGACAATTCAGCAAACTTCTGAATATTACGTTAACTATCTACCGAGGCAAGCACACAAGCCGAAACGCGTGGTTCTTCAATTTCTAACTAGCCACCTCCACGCTCGTGAAGCAAGAAAGCACACTTTCGAACTCGTTTCCCTTCTATTTAACTCAGAATACTTCCGCTGACTATTTTGAATACGTGCGCGTTCTACTAAAATTTACATACTCTGGCATTGGCAATTCCAGGGGAAAGTAAGGCTTGACAGGAAAGATAGTTTAAACTTAAAATAAATGTTAGTTAAAATAAATATAAACCCTACAAGTTTATAAAATTTTTTATATTGTTTAAAAAATTTCGGAAAGAATATTAAATTAAATTCATTAAATTCAAAATTATAACGTTGCCAAATATTCGATTTTTTTATTGCACTATTTTTTTAGGATTTGAATATTTTTATATAGACACACAGACAAGCATGAGAGAAGAATATTTCCAAATTAACATGAAATACTCTTAAGATAATATAAAGTAACATTTTGTTACATTTTTGATTTGAAGTTTAATTGCTCATTTAAGTAATTCTAAGCCCGATTATCAGTTCTGAAGGCAATAGTATTGCATGAATATTCAGATTATGCTAAGAAACATTATTATTTTACATTATAACTGTCACCAAAGGATAAATATTATACACAGTTATCTAATAAAGTGCTGTTTCATGACTTTACTCTAACAGCATCACCCAGTCATATAAAGAACTAATGGAAATGAGAAATTGACATGGCCATATGGTATTTTAAGAGGGATTTTGATGATAGAATAGTAATTATAATTTTCCTTTTGTAATCTTTTGTATCTCATCATTCGAATAATAATAGCCTGATACTTAGTTTAATAGGAAATAAGAAAATGCTTGTATATTTTTGACTGCAATCCTTATTGCACTTCTGTACCATACAGGTATTCCTATCATACATAAAAACTAAGCTGATAATTTTGTTTGCACATAAAGGGCTCAATTATTCTCTGACATTACCTTTAAGGAATTCTTGGAAATATAAACGTTCTGAAAAAATTTCTGAATTAGAAAATTAGAAAAGAGCAATTTTAATCAACGCGAAAATGAGACAATCAATCTATACTAAATTAACACATAAACATTGTTCTGATTTCTTATATCATTCTAATTAAAAATATAGCATTTATTTTACAATTATCAATAATTTTTTAAATAGCTTTTCATTACAAACAAATATTGCATATATGCAAGAAAAGGTTTGCATTAGGGATAATTTATGGCGACTAAAAATTGGTTTTATAAAGTGGCACAAATTAAACACAATTAAAAATGAAGAATATGATGCTATTAATGAGATAAAAATGTACAAAATGTGTACCTTAGTCCTAACATACTTATCCTAAAGAAGTTTCTTTAACTTTTCTCATGCACATAAGAGTCTACATCAGAAATAAAACACCATGGTCATGATAACAATCCGCGGCAACATAAACAATGTTATAATCAATAGTTTGAAATATAATATTGAAAATTTGTAGATCAATTGTATTTTTATTGTTAGATATTTTTACTTTTCTTCCATTTATTACAATAATTCTGTTTTCTAAAGCAGTTACGGTTCATGTTTGATATTAGTGAGTTCAGGGAATCTTGATCAAACCTCGTAACATCCAAAATTGTCTTTAAACAACATTGTAACTTAAGATTTGTTTTCCAATTAGTTCAAAATATCTTTACTCTTTCATTTTGGATTAGAACATTATTCTCATACTTAAATAATAGTTTGTCAGGCAAGAAAAATAGCACTTTAAACATCCTGAGATTTTTTAAGAAGAAAATGTTTCCGAAACAGGAAGGAAAAATTCTTGATAAATAGAACTCAATTTCACGTCAATCTCGAAATTCTCATGGGATATTAGAGCACAGTCACTAAGACAGAATTTCTACGACTGCCAAGATTTTCATGTTTAAACTAGTATCACTGCTTCATGCCTTAAGCTGGTTAAAGCTGGTCTATTGAAAGAACAATTTGTGAATAATAAATTCATTTAAATGTTGCCCTTTGTAGTAAATCTCCAGACACGTGATAGCTATTTTGTGATATATCTTACTGAAAGATGAGATAACAGCACGAAAGAATCCTTAGTAGCAGTCAAATTTGTAGATGATTTCAGATTCAGTCCAGATGGGAAAGGAGTTAGTGATTGTGACTGCAATACCGAAGGACCCGGGTTCGAATGCTGGAGAAAACATTGATGTATATTGTCTGTCCCTTCATAAAAGGCAACGGCAGCCTACCTATTACATGCCTCCATAATAATGTGACCACCGCGTCCAGCTTTAGTAGCTGCTATCAACTACTATAACGGCTAGCGCCCAACTTTGGATATAATAAAGAAAAGTTAAGCCAGTAAAAGATGTCCAGAAGCTAAGGAATAAAAAAGAAATCCCAAGTACATGCTTTCACAAAATGTGTTACGCCAAAATCCCCTCTTACCTTCTAAATTAGTAAAACGAAGCGCTAGTTTAATGGTTTTTTAAGATCTCCCTTATTGTTACATGTTCTCATGCTATTAGTTTATCAACTTGTGTTTAATATAGTCAGCATAGTTGACTATTTATAAGAGATATTAGGATATCAGCAATTCCGTGCCTATCTGGCGTAAAACTAGGACTTCAGACCATCAGAAACGTTTCTGTCTTCCAGGACAAAGCTCTGATGATGCTTCACGAAAAGTGTTGATCTCTTGCAGGAAGAAAAGATTCAGGCACTGTTTCTCTTTCTCATAACTTGTTACCATGGTACGATGTTAGTCTTAGTAAATAAATGTGTAGTTAAATACTGATTTGTATTACAATACGTATGTGATAATGAAATTAAAATAGTTATTCATTTGATGATTCAAAGAGTGTTTGTGGGCATTCTTTTCTGTTTAATTTCCATATTATGCACAGTCTTTATAGGCACGCATAGGTATAAAATGAAAATTCCCAAATCTTACCTCTTGTAGCACACTGGAGTAAATTATTTTCGTAGCAACTGCAGTTAGATCCCTAACAAATTCATGCATGCAATCTGCTTAACGCATAAAGTAGTTTGTTCCCCACAAAACTGCCAGATTTAAGAATATTTCCTAAAGACTTATGCACAGCGTTTAACACTAGAACAGCCGAATTTCAGACTAACCGAAAACCGCCATTGGGGGTCAATTTGACCTTCATAAGAAATGTAAGTAGAAACACAGTAAATGATTGAAATGACCACATAAAAGAGTTTTTAGAGGTTTTTATTTATTTTTATACTTTAGAATTTTTTTCGTGCAATTAGCGCAAATTAGCACATATCTTTCAATGTAAGATTACAAAAACAAAAACTTTGAAAAACAAACAAAAGATACAAATGCGAAAAGAGGAAAATAGAACATATGCAAAAAATTACAAAAAACATAAATTGGGAATAAACACACAATGTTTTCCAAAGTTTGTTATACATTACCGCAGGTGATACAATATGAACGCTTGACAGTGACAGCAACACATTTACCACAAATTGGTTTCTGGCATCCCTCACAGCTGACAACAGTCTTGTTTTGTCCCTTGCAACTTTAAAATGCACATTTCTTTCCTTTAAGTGTCTGTATTTGAGCAATTGGGGGGGGCATCTGTTGCGTAGTGCACCAACTCGTAGTTCTTCCACGAGTGCAAGAATAAATTCTCGACGGGAAATAGAGGTGCCCAAGGATTCTTTGAATATAATCCAAGCATTGAGTTCAGCAATGTCAAGGACGTTGTAAAAAACATGTACAGGCCACCTGCGACTTCCACTACTTGTACTATATTTCCTCAGCATCTGATCTGCGACATCAATGCCACATTTTGTACTGTTGTAGTAAGTGACAGTGTTCGGTTTTTCTTTATGCTGTCGTCAACAAACACATTACTGTGCATCGTGCTCAGAATCACGACATTCATTTTGCTCTTGCACCTATATATTGTGAGTGTTTTTTCTCCCTTTTTCAATGCAAAAGATGAATATCGTGCCGAAGAAGTGTCACGAGCAATAGGGGGTAATTCTCGCTTATTCAGAAGCATCGTCCCCGACAATTGTGGTTTATTTCGCAGAAAGTTTATCTGCAAGTTTCACAGAAGTAAAAAAATTGTCAGTTGTGACATTGAGTCCGGAGTTTAAATGTGGTTGCAGTAATTTGAGAACTACACTTTCCCAAGTTGTAAATTAGTTGGTCGTTCTTCATCCTTGCCCACATAAGGATAACCATTCAAAACATATTTGGATTTTACATCAGTTGCTAGCCAGAATTTGATGCCAAACTTGTCCGGTTTATTCGCCATATACTGAATAAATCTACATCTTGATTTACAAGGCAACAATTGTTCATCAACGGTTATTTCTGGTCCAGGATTATAGCATAAATAACAGTTTTCCATTAGCTTGTACCAGGTTACAGAAGCGAGAGCAAATTTTTTAGTGGCGAGACGATCAGCTCTGGTGCTTCGGACATCTGAGAATCTGAGATACCGCATTATTTCACGGAACTGATTGCGTGACATTGTTTCTTTGAACACAGGTGGTCCTCAATTCTTGTTCCACAAATCATCTGCACAAAGTTTTGAATGGCCCTATGCTCCAAGTTTTCGAACACCATTTTTTTTTTCCCCGAGCAGCACGGTCCTGGGTTTGCAATCGCAAAAAAGGAAAACTGGCAAAGACTTAAAACAATTGGCTCAGCGACTCTGGGGCATGAAAATTTGCGAAGACGATAGTGCATGATGGAAGAAGGGTTGCATTGCGGGCGTGAAGAACAATTCCAGTTACATATTACAGAGTAATGGATAGGTGGTACAAATACTAAAAAGTAATAAGAAGTAAATACTAGAAAGTAAACATACATAAAAAAAAAAAAAGGGCAAAACAGTGGAAACAATACATAAATAAGGAAAAACATAGTTCAAGGTTCATAATTCAAGGTTTACAGTTCAAGGAGGATTAAATATATACAGGGAATAAGAAAAGCCGAATAGCTAACTTAAGATAAAATTAGTTCACTACAGGTACAGAGCATACAGGCTGTGCTGGTGACGAGGATGGTGGCTGAGAATACTCCAGCCTGTCTGAGATTTTGCGTGCAATGTTTATGCAATCGCATATGCGTTTCAATGCATTGCGATTTTTTGAAGAGTTCGGCCCCTGCATGGTGTGGTTTGTTACTGGTGCCTAAGATATTTAGCGCTCTCTGCAAGCGAACAGATAGTGGTCCGGATCTCCTACCCATCCCGCATGAGCAATGCTCGTTTCGCGTCGTCTGAAGCGATGCAGGGTAAGTCATGAAGGGATCATGTCCTGTTAGATACGAGTGCAATGAGACGAGCCGATTTTAGAAGCCGGCAGATTTTGGAAAAAATCTGTAAACCCTCTGCCGGTGGTTTCTGTCTCTCAAGATGTGCCAACGTTTGAGTAATTCTCTCTCGAGCTCAGCTTTTAAGAACGAAACCCGGGAGAGGCACGCAAATGTGCGAAACGTGAGGGTCAGTTGCTGCTCTTTGGCTATTGCATCTGCAATTTCATTACCCAGTATTCCAGTGTGGGCAGGTACCCACTGGAGTTCAGGTACCCACTGGAGAGTTCAGGACTGTAGTATTTAGGTGTTCTTAGTAAGAGTTTTTGTATGGCCCTGACGAGTGGATTTTTACTACATGTGCCTTGGATTGCCTGGAGGCTAGAGGCTGAGTCTGATGGTTCCTATATTACGACGAGTAAACGACGTTGGTCCACGTTCAGTGGTTACAATATTTCGAGCTGGCGTGCGACCTGAAGTGGAAGCGGTGTGCTAAGGTTCATAGGGGTCCAGAGAATACCGCTGGATGAGGTTATACTTCTCATTACTGCTGCCAGCAACGTTGGGTTGCCTCGTCCTTGACACGACGACCACGTCCACGTTCCGTGAGCTTCCGGCTTCCCGAATAGGGATCACATTTCCAGAATTGTCCTCGACATCACTATCACTGCTTTCAGAGAGCGACGCATTCTGTAAGTTCACATCAACGTTAAAATTCTTCATCACTACTATCATCACCACTTATATCTGATTCCAACTTTTCAAGGAGTGCAAGGAACTCTTGTGTACTCAATCCTCTTCCTCTCGGCATTTGCAATGGAGAGAGAGAATATGCTCCGTTCTGGATTTTATTTTTCTTCCCTGAGTCATCGCGATAAGAGCTGCGTGTTTCCCAATGCGCAGAAAACGAAAACGTGGCATCGGGAATTCGAAAACGGACATTCGCTTAAAAAATATGTCGTTTTTCTTATGAGGGTCAAAATGACCCCAATTGGCTGTTTTAGGTATATATGCGATTATTTATTTAAATAATTAACGTAGAAATATGAAAAATTGGCATAGTATACTTGGAAACATTTTAGAAAAAGTAAAAAAAAAAAAAAAAAATATCAGCTTCGAAGCTCAGCTGTATGTAAAAAAAAAAAAAAAAAAAAACGCGGAAAATTGAAAAAAAAAAAGGTTAAAAATTACCCCAACGGCGCTTCTAGTGTTAAATACCACGTTAACACACACTGCATATAATTTCATATACCATACACCGCATTTATATACTTTAACTTTTATATGCTTCAAATTTTACGGTTCAACTGTGTTAGAAATTGAAATGTTTATTGTTCTATGAACGTCTTCAATAAAATTATTTTATTCAATGTATAAAACTAAATACATGATTTGCAACATATGGAGCATCCAATATATGGTCTTCTAGAATAATAATTGCTTTAAAGAGAAATTTTCGACATTCGTTTTATTTAGAAGTTAACAAATAATAATAGTAATGCTTACGAATTATTCATATAATGTTATCGATTTCTAATTACAGAAAAATATTATAGATATAGTTCGACCGTCTGAAGCGCAACCCTGGTTGGCATTCTGCCAAAACACAAAGACTCGTCCAAAAGGGGTGGTAATACTTGCTGTGACGTGAAAGGTCTTATTTTCTCCATAAAGAGCTATGCTGGAGGGAAAGAAAGTCTCCATCCTTCCACCCTATTTTGAGAATAATTCGCTCCAGATGCGTGTTTGTGCTCATGGTCGCGGATGAGGCGGTCGAACTATAGTATTAAAGCAGTAATATTGTGCACTTTTTTTATATCCAATGGCGGGCACTTGCCTATTCAGCACTGGCCACTCCTAAAGACTGAAGCGGTGACCATCACTGTGGGGGCATCTAATAGGCAGCCACCGTCGCCTCCTATGAAGGGACCGATGGTTACAACCATGTTTTTTTTTCCGAAATTCGAAACCAGAACCATTCGGTACTGCAATAGGCTCCCCTAACAACTATAACGTCTGTGCGGCTGTTGTATATTTCTAGCGGCTATCGTTTTGTTCTGATATGCAAGTCTATATAAACATCCATCATTATATTTATTTCAAAGATTTCCTAACCTATCAAATTTGTTAGCTGCAACTTTATGTGTTGAATTACTTTTAATTGCAGTTTCATTATTTTTAATAATCCAATAAGAATGCTAGTTTTTACTTGTATTAATAAGCAAAGAGGTAATATAACAAATATTTAAAATTTTATTTTAAAACAAATTTCTGTAGTTTAATCTTTTGTTAATATTACCTATTAGTAATACCAGCAGTAGACTTACTACTTTACACCAACAGACTATAGCAGAGTTTTACTTGTTTCTTATGTAATTTTGTTATCTCTAATGAGATTATTTCCATCATAGGTTTCAATTATTATTCACATCTATAAGGTATTTTCTGCCTTCTTCCAACAAGCCTTCATGGTGTAACGGTAGCACATTCGGCGCGTATTCGACAGGTTTGAGTCTTAGCGAGGGCATTGCTCATTTTTCATCTCTCCTGCTTAAACAAACCTAACATATCAACATATTTTGGAAGCTATTAGGAAAATTATGTTTTTATTTTATTGAAAAGACTCTCATAAGGAAAGCTTCTGATTTTCGATACGGTTCTTCTAAAACAGCGATCACTAATGGCTGAGCGGTAAAGTCGCTAAACACTGGTAGTTCGGTCCAGGTGCCGAGTTCTGGGGAACGCGCTGGCTGTACGAGCGTTTTCGTGTTTTTTCCCATGTATAACGGTGTTTGCGCCAGTTTCCTAAAAAAGCTCTCCACGAAGGCATGTCTTTCCTTAGGCAAGATATCCCTTGCGTGCTTTTCCGTAATCACATAAACCGAGCCAAGCCTTTTAAAATAGCATGCAAAAAGATACAGTTATTTATTTATACGCCATTTTGCGCAAGCTTCGTATTTCGGAACTACTCTTATATGCGCCCTCAAGTCGCCAAATTTCTCGCCAAACATTTTTGGCGAGAAACTCCATGATGCCATATTACTATCTAAATTTTTTGTCTATATTTCGAACTTTAAGCCTAAAATGTCTCCCAAAACGCCGGTTTTTGCACATGCAAAATCCACGGTTTTAACACACAATTTAAGCTAAAAATCCGAATTAAAAACAAAAAATTTAGATAGCAAAAACGTAAAGTTCCTGGCCAAAAATATTTTACAAGAATCCATGTACACAACGATATGTTTTAACTTCAAAAAAATCTACGAATTGCACAATCTAGGCAGCGAAAGAATCTACGAACTACGCACACCTCGCTTTAATAAATTAACATAACAACAATAAATTTCAAAGAATACCATGTACACAGCGTTCTATTTCAAATTTAAAACACATCTACGAATTGCACAATATAGGCACTACGCACTAATCAACAAAATAAATTAAAATAGATTTCAAACAATTCAAAAAAGAAAAAATAACAACAGAAATTCATATTAAAAAAACAATGAACATAACATTTTACAAAATAAGAACAAGTATAAAATAAAATGCACTTACCATGAATGAATGCTTTTTCGAACAGCAGAAATACCAATTTCCTTTAATATGCCGCCACGTAATCACTATCCTATTTATATGACAGCCAGACACACTATCCAGAAAATTCATACTATGGTTCACAAATAAATGTTCAAAACCTTCTTTTCCTAAATCCTTGTAAGATTTTCAGCCATCCGAAAAAATAGTTGTACAAGGCTCAATCCACTCGTTAATACACTGCATCAGCGTTTCCTTACTTCTATATGCACAGCCACTAAAAATAATCTCCCAGACTTTCTTGCAACCACGTCTCTCATTGCAACATAGGCCATTTCAAAACACGCACGACACGAACCAACGAGTAATTAAAACACTCCAGCAAAAGAGTATTCAACGTCAAAAGGGTTGCCACACAACACTCAATCGCGCCCAAAACCAGCGCAGAACACATATCGCCACATTTGGTGATCTTAGGGCGCATATAAGAGTAGAGCCCGTATTTTATTTACCTTCCTTAAATTATTTTAATCAGATGGTGAAATTTATTAAAATGTTCATTACGTGTTTGTATCAAACCTCTTACCACCGCAAATATCAGAGTTAAAAGTATTCAGAGTACATGAAAAACATAATTAATTAATCACTTTGGATACGAGGATAAAAAGAAATCTGTTA